AGGAACCAAGGTTTAGCTCAAGCTGTGTGAGGGAGAAGAGGAAACAGCCTGGCTGGGGGGTAGGGACTCAGGGAGCAGGGGTGACACTGCGGACAAGTGGGCCATCCTCGGGCCTGGACTGATCAGGCGTCCCCTGAGCCTTCGCTCAGGCCCTTCCCTCTGCCGAAGGTGCCCTTCCTGTGTGCCCCATGCCCCAAGGGCCAGCTCAGAGATGTCCACCTGCACCCTCACCCTCAACGGCCTCCTGGCTCCCAGGCCTCCTTGGACCCGCCCTGCTGGATTCTGACTGTACCAGATGGTGCTGTTCTGTATGAAAAGACACTTGACCTCTCTCGTAAGAGCCATGCAAAGGAAAACCTCAAGGAGAGACCATTTCCTTCTATCAGACTGGCAAAGATAGACAAAGCGGATAAAGGCAGTCCTGGCCCTGCTGCTGGGAGCAGGAGGGGCAGGTGCAGCTCTATGTACATGGGTGTGATCACTTCAGAGGGCAATTTGGCAGTAGCTATTTAAATTAAAAATGCCCTTTAACCCAGCCATTCGCTTCCGTGCATTTATCCTCTGAGATACAAGTGCCCGGAGATAAAAGTACAAGAGTGCTCACCGCCCGGAAACATCCCACACGTCCATCAGGAGTGGCCGTGGAAGTCCATGAGGCCTCATCACACAATGGGGCATTCCCCCGGCCTCCTTGCCTGTGGAGTGAGATTAGCAGGGTGCCCATCTCCAAGCTGTTTGGGGAAGTAGATCAGTTAATATAAATAAAGTGCTTAGAGGAGCATCCAACACATAGTTGAGCACAAGTTCCCGCTATTATTATCAGTTTGCTATTGTTGAAAAGAATGGGGTGGATCTATACATACTGATATGTAATTATCTCCCAGAAATGCTGGTCAGTGAAAAATGCAGACAGAAGATTCTGTTGGAGGCGCCAGTGGTGCGGTATGTGGATTGGGTTCTGGCTTCTTTGTTTCTTGAGGAATTCTGCTTTTGAATGCATAGACCAGCTGCAGGAGGACAAGGCCAGGACTAACAATAGTGGCAGCCTCTGGGAAGGAGAAGTTGACCAGGAGACAGGGCAAGAAGGGATTTGCACGTATCCTTCCATGCAGTTTGTGGTTTTTAACCACAAGCCTGCACCACCTATTCAAACAAATAAATCACTTGTCAAGACTGGTGACTCACCTGCCTGAAACTCCCACCAGCCCCTGAGCCCCCTGAGGACAGAAACAGTGTCAGAGCTGCTGCCAAGTTCTGGGCACCCAGCATGGCCTGGCACACACAGATACTTGGCAAATGTTGGCTGGCAGGCAAGCCACCTGGAATTCCACGTGGCGCCTCTGCCCGGAACCCCCTCTCCCCAGGCATGATTCCCAGGAGACTCCCACAGATGGGGGCAGGTGCGTGCTGGAGCAGCCTGGGGACGGTCTGGCCTGAACAGGAGGCAGGCTTGAGAGCTAATTTCCAGAGGATCATTCCTGGAAGCAGGACTCAGGTGACCAGGTGTGTCCGGGCCTCCAGGGGTCTAAGCCTCTGCCAAGGACTAGACCTTCGGGCCACAGCAGAGGCCTCTCTGTGTACAGGTTACCGATGTCCCCATCTGACTGCATAACCCCTTCTTACCAGGAGGCAGTAAGGCTCCCTATCAGGCCAATGCTCGGGCTGAGGAGCAGAAATGAGGCCCCAGGCCCAGGAAGGGACCTGCCGGGACCAATTCTGCCATCAGCCCCGACTTGGGGCCCCCCTTCTCCGTAGCACTCACCCTCTTGTCCAATGAAGCCGGGGCTGCTTCAATCTGAACCCCAGGAAAGAGGGCTTGGCTGTGCCTCTTTCCAGAGCCTTGGAGTGGAGCCCAAGTGGGAACAGCTCGACTCTCCACCATCCATCAAGCAAGGGACAGAGAGGCGAAACATGGCTTGTCCCTGCAGGGAAACACCCCAGCAGTCGCTCGGGGAAATACCCCGACAGTCACGCGAAACAAAGCAGCTCTACACGCACAGACATGACTAGGTCTTCAAAACACATTGTGGCGTCTGGGAAAGCAAGCTACAGCAAGACGGGGCCAGTATCCTGCCACTTCGAACACACACACAATGATACCCAACATCTTCTGTGTGTACGCAAATGAGTGCAAAATTTTTAAAAATATAAAATGTCTGGAAGGATCTACGGCTCACAACCGTGATGACACGGGAGGAAGGCAGGAGAGGGGAGCAGAATGGGACAGTTAGGGGACTTTAGTTTCATCCATTTTTAAAGGAGATTGGGTTCCTATTTTACCTGTGCTACCAAAATAATTTAAAATTAAAATTAGGGGCACCTGGCTAGTTCAGTCGGTTGAGCATCGGCTCAGGTCATGATCTCAGGGTCATGGTATCAAGCCCTGCATCGGGCTCTGGGCTCAGCAGGAGATTCTCTCTCCCCCTCTCCCTCTGCCCCCCTCACTCTCTTCTCTCTCTCTAAAATAAATAAATCTTTAAAAAAATAAAATAAAATAATTAAATTAAAGACTTTGTTCCATGTCGCTTTTTCATAGAAAGCAAGACCACTCAATGACCACCCCATTTAATACGCAGGGCGGCTCCCAACCCGCACAACCCCCAAGCCCCCCTGCGCTCGCTAACATTCCCATAGCACTCACCCTTCCCCAGCTGAGTGACTCATTATGATGCTCACTGGGTGGCATTTTCTTCCTTCCTTGGCTGGTCAGCAGCTCCAGCCCAGGAGGAGAGTCCTGCCCACTGCCTGTTTCCATGTAGCTCCAGAGCTAAGAATGGTTTCATGTTTTTTAATGGTTGATCATCAAAAGAGGGATATTTTGTGACACATGGGAATTATATGAAATTCAAATTTCAGTGTCCAGGAAATTTTATTAGAACACTGCCATGCCCATTTGTTTGTCTTGTCAAGAGTTCCTTTCTGCCATAAAGCAGAGTTCAGTGGTTGTATGGCCTGAAAGCCTAAAATATTTACTATTTGGCCCTTTGCAGACAAACACTGCTGACCCCTGGTCTGGTCTGTGAGCACCACAGGGGTGGGGGATTTCTTTTTGTTCCTTATGTATCCTTATACTACAGTGTCTGACACATAATAGGTGTTCAGTGAATCTGGTTGAATGAGTGAAGTGTATGTGTTGGAGCCTATCGCCTGGACCTCCTAGAGAAAGTGACCCCCGTTCCCACCATCTGCGGGGGCCTGAAGGTGGGTTCAGGCACTGTTGTTGGCTCTGAGTCTTTGCAGAAGAGGAGGCCATGGGGTGGAAAGGCCTGGATTTGGCACCAACAGGGTGGACCCCCAGGTCTGTGGAACCGTGGCTATGGCCTTGCTCAGCCCCAGGGGCTTCCCCCCCAACCCACCCACCCAATGTTGGCCACACCCGCAGCCTCTCCCTGTTCGCAGCTGAGTCGGCTACGCTTCATGAGCTGTGCTTTGGTGCCCTCTGGTGATCACTGGGAGCGGCTCCCTCCAAGGCCTGCACCACCTTAACCTCACTGGCCATCTCCTGAGGGAAATCCTACCCCAGCCTCCTGAGCCCGTCTAACTTCCTCACCCAGAGATCCAAGGGCTCACCAGACCAGGATCTCTCTTTCCTTTCCAGTTCCCCATCTGGAGTAACCTGATGTCACATGGACGCCCTCCCTCCAAGCTGATGCCAGCCTCTCTCCTCTGGTTAGACTATGCAGGCCCAGGGCTATGGGAGGCTCCCAGGCTGCCAGACAATGGCCACCTCTGTCATCACTCATGTGCACTCCTCCCTGACAGAGGGTGGGAGGATGACCTCTGTCCCCATGGCCTAGGGACCCACCTAGAGGGATGGGTACAGGGTGGCCTTACAAGCTTCCTTGTATTTTCTACACATCTGGAGAGATCCCCTTCTGGGTAAGGACTCCTCAGCACAAGGGAAAGAACTGCTCTGGGTTCCACTCTGGGGACAGGAAATGTCTCTAACCAGCATGAAATGCCACCTAGCAGTGATCATCATGTGCTTGTCATGATATACACATTACACCACTAGCAACTGTTCCAACTGCCTCTGCCAAGAGACTGTGGGCTCCAGGACAAGGGCAAGTTTGAGCTGCCTCAGTAACCCCAGCATCCAGCCAGGGCCCACCTGAGTGGTTGATGGTGGATGGGGAGGAGTGGATGGATGGATGCGTAGATGGGTGGGTGGGTGGGTGGGTGGATGGACGGATGGACAGGTGGATGGATGGACAGGTGGATGGATGAGTGGGTGGATGGATGGCTGAGTGAATGGAAGATGGACAGATGGATATCCCACAGCACAACTGAGCTTTGGAGGATCCTGGGTCCCTAGCCAGGGTCACAACCACTCCTACCCGTCATACCTATCCCATCTCCAAATGTATTCCGGTTCCCTCACCTCCCTCTGCCTCCCTCTCACCCACTCCCACCTCTTCAGCATCCCAAGTTCCTTCATGACAAATCCATGCCGGTGGCAGGGCCTCCAGGGCAACTGGGACCCAAACCTAGAGAACACTGTTCCCCTGGAGCTTCCCAGAGATGGCAGCCCCTCCTAACACCCCACCAAGGGGTCCCTTCTCCCAGGCACCCCAACTGTCACGGTCTAGCCATCCCTCTTACTTTCTTCACAGCATATATTACTAACACAAATGCTTCCGTGCCTGCCTATTTTTGCATCTTCTGCACAGGAATGCAGCACAAGGGCCAGGAACGTGAACTTTTCCTCTACTCCCACACACCTAAGCAGGTTTTCAGACACCTGGGCTGGGACAGGTTCCTGCCCCTCATGAGCTGGCACTTCAAGTGTGCAGGTTCCACCTTGATGCCGCAGAAGGGCAGGATTGGTGCAAGACAGCAAGAGGGGTCAGATCGGGGGGCCCCCTCCCAACTGTGCACTCTGGGCAACTCCTTCCCCTGAGCCGGTTTCCTCATCGGGAAGACTCTCCACTTCACAAGGTTGTGAGGTTTGAAGGAAAATGAAAGGTGAAAGCATTTACAGTCAGAAACCACAAGACACGTACGTGCACAATATTGTGAGCCGCATTTATTGTAGCATGTAGACACCACCCCCAGCCTGTGTCTTTCAGAGACCCGAGGACACCGCCCAGGCTGCACCCGGGAGCCATGACGCTGGGCGCATGCCCCACACCCTGCCTACCTGCAGCAGCTCCCAGCATTCCTGAACGGTGGAGTCCCCAGGGCCCCCATGGGGGGACTGTTCCAGAGGGATCTACGGTGGCAGAGGGGCCACAACTGGCCCCCACACCTTTTGTTCGATTAGCAGGGTTTAAGATGTTTTTTCATTAGTTGCCAACAGCTAAAAAATCGGAATACTTCACATAAAAATCTAGCTTTTTGGCTTCTCCAGATTTCTCACATTAGACCTACATTCCTGCTCTATGGCAATTAGCTACAACTGAAGGACAGCCACCAATTTCAGGTGGGAATCTGTGCTTTGCCACAGTCCCCACATCTTATTGTCACTCAAGGCCAGTTGCCATCAGACTCAATCATGCAAAATATCACAAAGCAATGTCTCTTCATATTCCATCTCCAGGAATAGTGGGAAAAATTAGAGTCGTACTGCAAAGGCCTCACACCTCAAAGGCCTACTTTATTTTTATAACCCACCTGGCCCTGAGGGCATCTAAGTTGGCGATCTGTGCACTAGCCCAAACCTCTCCTTTCATCCACAAATGCTCACTCCACACATACCCCTTTGTGCAGATCTGAGAACAGTAGCCAGACTTCCCAAATCGGGGCCAGTTTGCTCCTTTAGAAGTCTGTAAACTCCCTGAAACCCAAAGAACTAGTAAGCAGGGTGGACACACCAGGCACAGGGCTGAACCTGGGTGGGGTTGCCCTAGGAAAGCCAGATCCAGGTAAAGCTGTGCTGGCGCGCCCTCTAGTGGCCACGAGGCAACTCTCCAGGCCACCGGGAAGACTGAACCAGATTCCAAGTGAGCCTAGGAGTCAACTATCAATGGCCCCCAAACCTGGTTCCCCCACGGGTGTGAAGCTCAGGCTTCCAGCTTCCTCTTGCCCAAAACCTTCCTGATCTCCATCCCAACCATCAGCCACTTTCCTGGGCACGCTGGCACCCATCTCAGCCCCCAGGAGGACCAGACCCTTCCAGGCTGTGGCCTCTTCTGGGCAGGCTCCAGCTTCCCCATTCTTCACTCTCCCGGGCTTCAATCCAGGTTTGGCCCACAGCAGCCTGGCAGCACTTGCAGGGGAAAACCTTGCAGAGGGTGGAGGAGGCCAATTCCCAGCCTACAGGGTCAGGCAGGCAGGGCACTGATGTGAGCAGAACAGGCCAGGTGGGTCCCTCAGAGAACCGGAATCACACGTCCCAGGAGCCGATGCCACCAAAGAGCCGCTGTGGCCAGATGGCCATTCTTCACAAGATGCTGGGGGTCTGGACTTTTACGTGAAATATACCAAGTTTTAAAGGTTGGCTCAATGTATACACTATCCAGGCCAAGAAAACACGTTGGCAGGGTGGGTCCAGGCCAGGGCCCCAGGCAGACGGCACTGCTGAGGCCCTGCAGCTGACAGAACCTCTGAGATGGTGGGCGTAAGCCAGTAGTTTTCAAGGTTTTGTTTATTTGAGTAGTTTGTAGCCATCATCGTGTTTGATCCTGAGAGGCAAGCGAGGGAGAGAAAATTCTTGGACCCATTTTAAACTCCAAGACATTAAGGCCAAAGGGGGCTTCTGGCAGGGTCAAGGTCCCAGCTAGTTGCGAAGACAGCTCTAAAGCTGTGTGAGGCTGTGTCCCAGGCAACAGCAGGTCCCAAGCCTGCCCTAATAGCCATGCACAGAGAAGTGTGTCCCAGCCTGGGCAGGGACATGGCAGACCCCTCCCACCCCACCTGGCCAGCACCCTCTTAGAAGTGCCATTCCTAGGCCCCTGGAGAGCCCACCACCCGACAGCAGCCAAGATGGTGGCCCCCTGTGCACACTCACAGAGACACACCCACCCTCCATGCACACGGCTCCAAGATAGGCAGCCCAGGCAGAGGCACACCCACACTCAAGCCCCTTATGGAGCTCAGGTCCAAGCAGAAACACCTGCAGCCTTGCCCATCACGGGTACAGTGGCCGGGGAAGGGGGGGGGGGTCCCTGGGTAGGCCAGGCAGGTGGCCTTGGCCAGTGTGGCAGCCTCACCAGTTGGCCTTCACTGCCTTGATGTCACTCACAAGGTTCTGGGCCAGGCAGATACCAAAGATCTGCAAGACAAAGTGGGCAAAGTGAGGGAAGGTCTGCTGGAAGGGAGGGGCTGTGGGGGGGCATGCTGTGCTGAGGCAGTACCTGGAGAAGAGCGATGCCCACAAAGACCCCAGCCACAACGATCAGGTTGTCCTGCAGCCACTTCTCAAACTGGCCCACACAGCCTTTGGTGTGGATGGAGCCCTGCTGCTCCAGCTCCTGGGGACACACAGGCAAGGGGCTTGGCCCACCCACCCCCACAGGCCTCCTCTTAGTCCAGCTTGCTAAGCTCAGCCCCGCCCCAGGGCCTGACATCTTAGCACCCGCTGCCTGGATGGAGCTCTGCCATGGGGCCTTTGCATGACAGGCTCCTTCGAGTCATCAGGGTCTCAGAACAGATGCCTCCTCCTCCAAGAGGCCTTCCCTGACCACCCAGCCCCAATCCCATCAGCTCCCTTACTTTATTTTCTCCCAAGCTCCTGGTTGAAATTGTCACATTACTGTTCATATGTGGTTATCTGTGAGCTTACTGTCTTTGTCCCCTCTACTGGAGTGCCTATCTCCTGAGCATGAGTCCCCAGCATCTAGGGCACTGCCAGGTGTGAGCACCAGTGGGTGAATGACAAAGAACTGAAACGAGCAAACACACACGTGTCTGTGCCCACGGGTCCACTGCCCCCATGATCGGCAGTACCAAGGCCCAGGTGCCTGGATGGCTCCTAGGACTCAGCACCCCCTCCCCCACAGAATCCCTGAGGCCTTTCAGAGGAGCTTATGAGAGGCTGCCCTTCCCTTCCCAGTGCCCCCAACTCTGTCCCCACCCCTCTCACCAGTTTGAGCCGGACATCATAGCCACACTGGGTGTTGAGGACATCTTCCTGAGAAAAAAACAGGCCAATGAGCGACTTGGTGAAGGGGCCCAAGGCGCCCAGCGCTGCAAAGGTTCCGGCTTCTCAGGGGAAGCAGATGGAACCATGGACTCTGCCACGCCACCACTCCTACGTGAGGCTCACTGAGGCCCACGCACCTCCTTCCCTGGCGCCAGGACACACAGCCACAAACGCCAGCCTGAGCTGCCTCCTGCTTAGGAATCCTGCCTGCCCGTGTATTATAAGCATGGGAAGAGTCGTGGCCCTCAGTGTCCCAGGTGAACTGTGATGGAAGAGATGTCCCTGGGAGAAGTTTCTGCTCTAAAGAAAGCCATAAAAGGGTGAGAACCCCCATGCCCTGTCACTCCAGAACGGTGGCCCAGGGGTGTGGCAGCTGGCTCACTACAATCAAAGAGACAGGTTTTGCTGGAGGGGTGCAGCCCCTACACTGGCAGGCCCCACTGCTGCCCACGGACACAAAGTCCTCAGCCTAGTAGGAGGACTCCCACATAAAATGACCTCCCCCCAGCATCCAAGGCCCCCAGAGCAGGGCCAAGCCCAGGAAGCCCTCTGCTGGATTCTCCCCACACTTGGCCTGTGCGCTGCGATGCCCCTGCCCCTCCTCACCGGGCCCCACTCACCGCAGGGTCCCTGACGCAGCAGGAGAAGGGCACCCCGCAGCGCTCCCGGCTCGGGTTCAAGTCAGTGCAGTTGAAATAGATATTGAGGTTCCAGTCATTAGGCCCTCGGGCTCCGCAGCAAGACCACTAAGGGGCGAAAGGAAAGCCCAAATGAGCCAGGCCCGCCCCAGGAGCCCCATCCAGTTTCGAGACAGGCCCAGGCTGCAGAAGACAGGGTAGGGCTGGGCTGGGCTGGGAGGGGGTCTGGAGGTAGCTAGGCAGGTGGGCACCTCCTCACCGCCCCCCAGCAGAAAGGCTGGACCTCAGCCCAGAGCTGTCAGAGCAGCACTATGCTCCTGCCCAGGTTGGTGGAATCAGGGGGAACCTGGGAGGGGGTGCCCTCAGAAGTGGGTGTCAGGCCAAGCCCTGTGGGGAGAGGCACCACTGAAGCCCATGTCTGTGCCAGGTCTCCCCACACATGCCCCAGAGATTATATGAAGACCTTCTCTCGTCCTCTCTGCAGGGACGGGAGGGCAACCCTGCCACCCTCACAGCAATCACATCACACTTCTTCGATGCTGCTGGCAGCACCCTATCCCCATCACCCCACCCAGCACATCCGGCGCCGCCTCCCTAGGCACGGGAATAGCAAGTGTGACGCTGCCCTGAAGCAAGCTCATGAACTGTGGCACGCGGGAACACAGGTCTTAACCCATGTGACACGGAAAGCCGGCCCTCAAGGGACCTGCTGAGCGCAGACACAGGGCCCCGCCGTGGGCCGAGGGGGCAGGGCACAGCCATGTGGCTCTGTGTGCACGGGTCCCAGCAAACAGCCTGGCCTCTGCCGTCCTCCTCTAGCTCTGCTCAGCACCTGCTGCGCCTGCCGGGAAACATCTGCCCCTCTTTCCACAGCTCCGCTCCTTCTCCAAGGCCTTCCTCTTCTCCACCCTTCCCCATTTCAGCTCGTAGCACGATTTATTATTTTTTATATACACACACGCACATACAGTTGTCCATTTTCCATATCATCTATCTCTGCCCCCAGACTGCCATTCCCCAAAGGACAGGTCCCAGCTTTTGTCACCACCGAACGAACTCCCAGGAACTGGCCCAGGGCCTGGCACACAATAAGTCTGCACCAATCTGTTTCAAATGAACAAATCAATCACATCCTAACTGCCTGGCTATATGTCCACTTCTGCCCTGAGTCAAGACCTCCTCAAAGCAGGTACCAGCTCTGGTTCATCTCTGGATCCCAGAACAGACTCGGGGTGGGTGGCGCTGAAGGTGTGGGACTGTGGAGGTGGGTGTGAGCGGGGAAGGTGAGGCGGGAGGTGTCTGGGAAGCTCGTGAACTGTTCACTGACTGCTTCTTCGCATGGGTTAGGTAGAGGAGGATTTAAGAGCTTCTGTGGAGGGGGAGGTCTCAAACTCAAATATGTTCAGAGGCCAGACAGTATAAATGAGAGAAGAAGGCCGACAAGTATAATAAAATACAGAGTGGCATAGATGATGGCAAACAGAGAGAATTCCTATACCAGCAAAGGGGACAGCAGCAATGTAACCCCAGCTAATACTATGGGTCCAGAGTTTCTTAGAAGGGGAAATCTGTATTTTTATATCAAATGTTCTCTTTTAAGTGTTGTAAACCCTGGCCTAGGAGCTGCCAGGTTGGAGCCTCTGGGCTCTGTTCCCCAACACTGTGTCCCTGCAGAACCAGACACAGTGGGGACCTACAGGGATCATAGAAGCTGGCTTCGCCTCAGACGGGGGGCCTTCTGGCTCTTTTCCCTGGGGCACGGGCAGGGGAACGGTCCCAGAACACACGGAATTTGCTCTCTCACACATCTGCCCAGCAGCCGCCTTATGCAGGTGGCCCGGGCCGGCACTGGGACTCACATATTCCTGAGCAAAGTCAATGAGGTTCTGGAGGTCAATGTCGTCCCGATAGGCCTTGACGTTGTTATTGATGAAGAAATTGAGCTGGTCTCGAATCCAGTCCTTGAATACGAAGGCCAGGATCCCTGTTGCTAGCTCCAGGAAGAAGATGAGGCCGAGGAACACTGAGAACTGGGGTGGGGGCACACAGACAGTGGGCGTCAGAGATGCAGGGCCTGGGGAGGCCACGGGGCAGCGCTCCCCCCCCCACCCCCACCCCAAGAGAGCCAAGAGTCCCCACCTTCTCTATTAGTATTGTTTGATGACAGTGAAGGACAGCGCGGTTCTTACCCACCCATCCGTTCCGCTTCCCCTGGTAACCACCCTCCACATACATGTGCAGCTCCTGTGGCTCAGGCAGAACCATCTCCACCTCCTTTCCCGTTCCCGATAGAAGACTGGGCCTGCGCCCGGGAGCCCACCAATCGGAGCGCTACCTCTCCCGGGGCCACAGGGATTGGTCCAGAGACAGCCAATCTGAACCAAGGAGATGCAATTAAAGGAGAGGGCCTTGGCCTCCTAGGAGTTCCCGGAGGGGCAGTGTGAAGCTAGCCCCCACCCGTTCGTGGGCATCCTTCCACCCCATGGGGAATGGAGCCAACTGGAAGGACAGACTAGAGAAACAGAGTGACCAGGCCAAGTGACACTGTGGTGGCCCCTAGATCCAAATGTGCCGGCACCCAGCATACCCCTGGGCTTTCCTTAGTGAGCCCATAAATACCCTTTTATGCTTGGGCCACTGGGTTTCAGTCACAACAGAAAGGATCCTATAAATATAGATAATACAATTCTGATGACTACTGTTACAATAACACGATAATAAAACCACCCATTATTAAGTACCGACTATATGCAAGAAGTCAGTGGGAGGAGGTAGGGGTCCCCAGTGGATCTAGGTGGGGGTATACTCACAAACTTGAGCAGGAAGGTGTTCTCCCGGAGGGCCCCGATGCAGCCGGCAAAGCCCAGCACCGACATGATGCCTCCAACCACTACAAACAGCCACACGGGGTCGAGGCCTCCCAGATCTGTGAGCGCCGAGATATTGGAGAGAACGCCCTGTGCCAGGGGAGCAGAGGCAAGTGGTCGGGCTGATCCTCCCACCACCTCAACCTAGGGCAGCCCCACACCAGACTCCACCACCTTACCTTCTCACCCCAGGCCCAGAGGCCAATGGCCAGGAACAGGGCTCCCAGCACCTGCAGAAGCAGCAGCAAAGAGCTAAGGGTTGGAGTGTCAGCATCCTTCCCCACCCCCAGGAGAGCCCCTCCCCCTCTAGCAGTCAGGGTCTCTGGAAAGTGGGGGGGGGGGAATGGACTATAAATGGGGTCCAGGGTCCTTTCTACCTCCCCCAGAACACATTTCAGTTCTTCTCCCCCACAAAACACAGCCTGGAGGATTGAACCCACCCTAGCCCTTCCCAGGACTCAGTACTGCAGCAGAGGGTGGCTGGGACACCCCTGCCAAGCAGAACCAACAGCACTGTCCTGAGCCTCTCCTCCCACCAAGCCTATTCTCGGTTCCGGGATCCTAGCCTCCCTTCTGCCTCCTCCCAATCTGGCCATCCTGGTGCCCTGCAACTCTGTGACGGCCGCCCCACTCTGTTCTGTTTTCAAAGCTCACAAGCAAAGACCCCTGAATGACAAGGAATCCTGATGTAAACAGGATCCAGTTGAGGGACCCCTGTCTGGGCCTGTAGCTCTGCCCTTGAAAACATCTGGCCACAGTTCTGCCTGGACCTTTTTTTTTTTCTCCTGCCTGGACCTTCTAAGCACCACCCACCTGTCCTGCCTCAATTCCTTACTGGGAAGAGTCCTGGATGTCCAGGCCATATGCCTGAGCCTGGGCGGGTCTCTGGATATCCAGTCTCACAGAGAGAGTGCCACTCATGCCCCAGCACAAGGCCATGACCCCACCTCTTCACACCCTCCCCACCCACCTGCTTTCCCAGGCTCCTTCCCTTCCCCCTACCAATTCCAGTCCATTCCACCACAAGACCACCCACTTTTAACGCCTTCCTCTCTCTGACCCCAGGCCCCTCCCACTGCAGTAGTCCTCTCTAAAAATCTCTTTCCCTCCCTCCCCCCACACTAGATCTGGGATGTGAAAGCAAACATCACTTCTCCTGCCCCATCCCACTTGACCCACCCATGGCCTTTAGATAGGCAACTGACCACTACTTTCTCCCTTCTGAACCCCTCCGTGGTCAACTCAACACCATTCCTCCCTCCACCCCTTCTCAGCCTCCCTCCCAGGATGCACTGCTTCACCTCCCTATGCACATGGCCACCAACCCCACCACGTGTCACCCTCAGCCTTCTGCCCTTCTTCCTCCTCCATACTTATTTCCACACCATCAGACACTGGCAACTCCCAGACCTCCACCCCAACCTCTCCCTGGCTCCAAGTGGCTAGGTCCACTTGCCTGCTGCAAAAACCTCCATGTCCCAGGCTCAGTTCCATGCACTGGGAATACATCAGCAAATAGGACAAATGAGCTCTCTGCCATCAAGGAGTTTACACTCCAGTGGGGGAAATCCATAGTGAGCAAATAAAGGAATTTCAGATACCAACAGATCCTTTAAAGAAAAGCAAACAGACTGATGCGGTGGGGAGTGATTGGGGTCGGTGTAGGCATGCTTTTGTTAGGGAAAATAGGGACATTTTAGCTGAGCTCTGAATGATGAAAAAGTGTATCGAGGAGAAGAAAATTTCAGGTGGAGGGACTGGCAGAAGCCCAGAGGTAAGATCCAGTATGGTGGTGCAAGGGACAGACTGAAGGGCAGAAGGGCCAGACTCCAGAGGGCACTGGAGACCACTGGTGGAGTCTGGACTGTATTAATCGCTGGAAGGTTCTCAGCAGGGTAACACCAGGGTCCACTTTCCATTAAAACAAACAAAAATCTCTGGGCCTGTTTGATAGGCACCTCCCTCTGGCCACCTGGACCCAAACCTGAAAGCTCGTGGCCCCCCTAAGTGGTGGGGTCCTGTCAATTCAGCCTCATAACTTCCCCTGGAGCCTTCCTCACTTCCCACTCCGCACCCCCCATTTTTGCCCCAGCCCTCCTCCCTGGTCTCCCAACTTCCAAGCCCTCTGCCCCTCACCCACCCTCCCCGCAAAGGCAGACAGATCTGCCTCCAATACAAAAGCCAAAACAGACCCACCACCCAGCACCGAAGCCCTCACTGCTTCACAGGGCTCTCAACATAAAACTCCCGACACTGTCCCACCCCTGCAGCCTTTCCTGCTCTGGCTCCCCACCCCCACTCCCATGCCAAGGTGGGCATGCCTGGAACAATCCTGAGTTTCTCTTGCCTGTCCCCCTTGGCATCCGGCGATTCACTCTGCTCAATGCTCTGCTTCACCCCCAACCACTGCCCACTGGTATGTACCTTGGCTTTGCACTTACTGGCCTTGTGACTCTAGGTTAAATGACTTGACCTCTCTGTGTCTATTCCCTCATCCATAAAATGTAGATAATAAATAACAAAGTAGCTGTGCAAATACAAGTTAGAATTCATTTAATCTGCCTAACAACCCTGAGAGGTGGGCTTTATCATCACCCCTCCCAGGAAAGGAGGCCAAGGCCCAGAGGGAAGTCTCAAAGCTAGGCTTGCTACACCCAGGCCTCCAGACATCCCCACTAGTACTCTCTGCACATTGCCCACACCCTTGAGAGCTGCGCGTTGCCGGAGCCAAAAGGCCCACCACACACAGGTGACTTCATGGTTAGCACATGGGTAGAGGGCAGTGCCAGAGTCTTGAACAAACTGAATGGGCCTGGTATTTTGACTGAAGGCAGCAGGAACAGAGACTGCAGAGGCAGCAAGCAGCGTTAGAGAGATGGGACGGGGGAGGGAGAAGGGAAAGATGACTTGGCAGGGCCCAGGGGCACATGCCACCCTGGGAGGGGCACTAGCAGCTCCCTTCTCCGGCAGGGGCAGCACCGCCCTGAAGCCTCGGTTTTGTCAGCTGCGGAATGTCGAATTCTGTTCCCCCAGGGCCAGCTCACAACGTCTCAAGAGAACCAGAGCTATTGACCCTCCCAGCCCGCAAGCTCTCAGTATGGACCAGGTTGACCTACTCTCCTTGCAGGAGCTTAAGGCTAGGCAAGGGGTTCCGGCCCTTCCCTTCACGGACACACTCCTCCCTGTGGACTAAACCAGGGGCGGAGCTCAGCGCACACCCCACACCCCACACTCCAGGGTAGCAAAGGAGCTGGACGGGAGACAGGTCCCTGGGACCTTCAGGGAAACACCTCCCCTTTCTCCACCCGGGCTTGGAAAGATACAGGGAGACTCCACCTCCATAACCTATCCCCGCGGCGCCTGGGGCCCGCCTCCAGCAATCCGGGCCTCCCCGTAGTTCCCAGGAGTGGGTCCTAGGAGTGTATAATGGAGGTGAGAGTGGGAAGAAGGGGGAGGGAGGTGACGGTCCCAAGCCCTTAAGGCAGGGAGTGGTTCCCCCACCCACCCAGCAAGTAGGGGACTGACCCTCCTCCCGCCACCCCCAGCTCGGGGCCCGGAACCCACCCCGCTCTCACCCAGAAGACAATGTTGAAGCCAAACAGGAAGTATTTCCCGCAGCAGCCGACTTCGGGTTCCTGGAAGTGCTGGTGCTTGCCCGGCATGGTGAGCAGCCGCACGCCGGCCCGGGAACCGGAGCCGGGGTCGGGCTCGGCCCTCCACGGGCCGCCCTGGGCTAGAGCCGCCCGGGGCCTAGCCCGGCGGCTGCGGCTTCATGGCCGCGGCCACACAGAGCGCCGGTCGGGCCCCGCCCGCCCCCCAGGGACCGCCCCCGGCGACCCGACAGCCCAGCTCCCCGCCCGCGCAGTCGGGTCGGAGCCCGGCCGCCTCTAGGCCTGACTCCGCCCCTGCCCTACTCCGTCCCCTCGGAGCCCCGCCTCTAGGCCTGAGTCTAGGTCCTCCGGGCCCGGCTTCCAGGCAGGCCCCGCCCCCGACCCGGAGCCCCGCCTCTAGGTCTGACTCCGCCCCGAGCGCCTGCAGCCATTTACATCTTCCCACTGTCCTGCGGACCTGCCTGAGAAGCCTGATGATAGCACCGCAAGTCGCGGCCACGAAGCACCCCCAGTTACTCCTACCCTTCAAGGCTCGGTAACCAGCGCCGCCCCAGGCCCCAGCCTTGCTGTCGGTGCCCAGTCCTGGAGAGGAGTAACTGCTGATCTGATGAGCAGATGGGGACGGCGATAGGGATGGTGTTTTTAACACAAGTGCAGGCGAATCAGATGCGCTTTTCACTCAACGGAAATTCATCTCTACCTAGACTGGCTCAGACTCAGGCCAGATGACAGCTGGGTCTCGTGAGGGACGCGCCTGCTCCTCCCTGACACTGCGGCGTTGCCAGGGGCATATACCCGACCCCCTGGCTCTAACCCCTCTGACGTGGAAACCTGTCCCCTTCCGTATTACCCCTCTCACTGTACTAGCTTGGGCCTGATTGGGCATGAGGCCCCTCAAGGCCGGATCGGAGTGTAAGGTTGGGGGGGGGGGAGGGCTCAAATCTTACTCAATTTTAGAACTCTCAAAAATAATTCTAATTTTGTTCAAAAGTGTTTATTTAGAACAGGAACAGAAAAAGGCTTAAACTTCATACCTTTCAGCTAATCCACCTCAAGCAGAACCATGAGGAGACCTAACGGCTGCTGTCCTCCACTCCTGGGCCAGGACCTCATCTATCTACCCACCTCCACTGCAGCCTGACCTGAGGCAAGGCCCACACACCCCTGGCCACAGCTGAGGAAAGGGCAAGAGGACACACTTGCCTCTCTGTGAGATAATAGGGTTCTGCCCCTAAGCCTCCAGCCCCTGTGATGTACAGCCCCGCTCCAGGGACCCACCCACATCTGGTTGAGGGAAGGTACAAGATACAGGGTAGGCACCAAGTAGAGTGATCACAAAGAGGAGAGCCCACCCCCTACCCCCTGTCCTTGAGCCCCAGCTCTTCTGTCAAGGCCACTGACACTAAGAGTCACCCTCAGGCCACCCAGGCCCTGTCCCAGGGGTGCACAGAGTAAGTGCTGGACTGTAGGATTCTCTTGTCATTTCCAACTTCAGTTGAGCTCTGCTTCCCCCCTTCCCCCCGTGACTCACCCTAACCCATCCTCAGATAAAACAAAGACACTCAGGGCTTTCCTCCACCTTTCCTGGGTCCTCAGGCTGGCTTCCCTGACCACAGAGCGGTCCTGAGCCCCAACTCAGGCCTAGGGACATGTTCATATTCACTCCAGGACATGGGAGAACACCATTCTCTACCCACCAGTTCTGCCCAGCATCAGCACTGTAGCCCAGCACCCCCTTACCCACCACACCACACCACACACACACACACACACACACACACACACACAGCAGGGAGAAAGGCTCAGGGGCAGTTGAATGGAGAGTGGTGCCAAGGTCTCATCAGACCACAAACTTATTCTTGGCTAGGGAGTTGCTCTTGGTGGCCGTGTCTGCGTGGGCCTGGTACCCAATGACGATCTTCGTGGAGAGGCCCAGGCGCTCTTTGTAGACCTGCCTGGAGGATGAATAGGAGAGGAAAGGAGATAATCACCTGCAGGTACTGGAGATAACCTGGGACCCTGGGTCCTTTGCCCAGAGCTCCTACCCTGGTTCCAGCCACCATGACTCTTTGTGGGTCTTACCTATGTGGAAACCCAAAACAGGACTCTTTAATGCAAAAGAAGAGACCTGCTAGAAATAGCTTGAAATCTGGATTCCAGACCCTCACACAGGTGGGTAAGGAAGAAGGGGGAGATGACACGGGAAGTTTCAGACGCCTCCCTCACAGGCCAAGCCACCACCTGGCACATAGACTCACCTTTTCCCCTGGAACAAACCCTGTGCCAGAGCTACCCCTCACCCGATGTGCAGCACGCCCGCCTGGTTCTCTGCCTCCCTCGTCCACAAGGCGATCTTGTCCCCCTTGGTGCGGATGTTGATGACAGCCCCACACACCTCCCTGCTGTGCTCCTCAAAGCTCTCCCCGATCAGACACAGCAGCTGGGGCCAGAAAGGGAGGATGGTGAGACCTCTACCTGAGTCAAAGGGAGTGCTCCCACTATCCTGGAGACCACTAACGCCACACCAGCCCAGCCTCTTCGAGTGGGGGACCGCCCCCTCCCCCCCCCACTCACGGTCTCCAGCCACAGGCGGTCCAGCTCACTGTGGCGCTGCTGCTTGGCGAGACTGACCAGCCAGCGGCCACCCCTCTTATTCCTGCTATCTTCCCACATGGGCTCAATGCCATCCTAAGAGGTGGAATGACAAATCAACTGCCTCCCTTTGTTCAAAGGGAAGTGGGTGCCCAGCCACCTTCCCAGGCCCTGCTCTGGCCCCGAACTAAGCCTCCAGAGGCCAGGGTCCCCCTTGCCTCCATCCCCTCTGAACAAGCAAGTTCCACCACCAGCCAGCCACTCAGCCCCCCAGACCCTCCCATGAGCTCCCCCAAACCTCTGATCCTCAACATTTGTCACCTTTTATAGCCTTATAGATGTACGGTTATGTTTGTCTCCTTTACTGAATTGAGTTCCTTGAGGCAAGAGTTCAAGCCAGGGGCAGGGGGGTAATTATTAAGGAAGCCTCTGGGGCAACCATAGTGTGTACATCCCAGGCTGGGCATAAATCACCTTTAAACACGGATGGTAGGGCCCCACCGCACACACCTGCTGGGTCAGTACCTCCAGAGATGAACAGTGATGAAGGCCTGGACACTGATGTGGAATGTTCCCGGGGAATTCTGACACACGTCCCTAGTTAAGGAGCCAGGCCAGGAACCTGGGCTCCTTCCGAGTTCCCCCTTTTCCCCCCTCCCCTTCCAGACTCTTAAAGGTCCTACGAGGTAGTACAGCTCCACTCTGACACTGTCCACGCTTCTGTGTAGCATTTCCTCAGGATGGAAGTCACATCTCGGCTCTGAGGAAGGCTGTCTGTGACAAACCCCCCCTCAACCCCCCTCCCCCAGCAAGCTCTCCATGAGGGAGGAACGCAGAAGCTGAGGAGGCTCAGCCCTCTTGTGGTCTGAGTTGGGGTGGGGGTGGGGGGTGGGGAGGCAGAGCTTACCTTGAAGAGGGCGTAGTCACAGCCGGAAGAGAGCTTACTGGCCAGTTGGATGTGACTGTACATCCTGGAGAGAGCCCCCCCGCCCCCAACCCAGGCTGTTAAGTCCAGACTTTTTACAGCCTGGTTCCAACTTGCCTCATTCCCCCAACTTCTTACCAGACTCTAGTGTTTTCCACCCACCCTTCAGGCCTCCAAAACATTGTTCACACTCACCCTCTCAGCCCCTGCCTGGAATTCCATCCCTACTTACCCAAAACCTCAAATCCCATCTTCTCCCTGGAGCCTTCCCTGTCCATCCAAACCCCCTGGGGAGGCTTTTAGAGTCCCAGTGCTGGGGGTGGGTGGGGAGGGGGGTCCAAGCGCCCCTCCAGCTGAGCCCCAGACTCTCAACCACCACTAGGGTTTGTGGTGCACCTTTCAGAACCCTTCCCTTGATTACCCATGGACACAATCAGGCAGCCTAATCCTCCTTTTATGGCAGAGACAAGCTCAGAGAGGGAAAAGAACCTGCCCAGCACCACAAAGCCTTGGAGCAGCAGAGTCAGGGACAACTCCTGGTTTCTCCCACCTCCCAGGCGCTTTCCCAAAGCCTCAGGAAAGTTTCAGGGGGGCCCATATACCAGCCCCAAGGATCCCCACCCCCAAGCAGAACCCACCAAGCCCCAGCCCTCAGCAAATGCTGAGAGGTCCCAGGGAGAGCGGGGAGAGCTAGGTAGGAAACAACTCCTTGGAGGGGTGGGGCCTGGGAAGGATCCCCAGCTCAGAACTCCCTGGCTCTGGCCTTGTCTGCGAGGAGCAGACACTTACGCCCAGAAGTCCTCCACAGTGTCAAACTTGGTGACGAGATGCAGGTTATCCTGCCAGGCGCGGCTGCGGTCATTCTTGAAAAACCACAGAGCCCACCTGGGGGGAGGGGAGGCCAGGAGGAAGCAGAGAGCCCTCCCAGGCCCACCACCAGCAGCACCTGTGCTGGCGGGGAAGTCATGCCCCTTCAGGGACAAATGAGGACATAGGATTTGGGCACAGCACCCCCACCCCCACCGTGACTGGAGTCAGTTATCCTGAAAGGCTGGGGCAGGATGGGGGAATCTAACCCAGAATCTCAGCTGGGTTAAGGCCAGAAGGGCCAACAGGGCCCAAGTCTTATGCCAGTTCTGACCTTTCTTGGATGAGGAACTGGGGCCAACAGAGGAAGGTCTGATGCAAGGCCACAAAACCTGCCTTACCTGTTCAGCAGTGGGTGTAACTCCAACTTGACCCCCTGGGGGCCCCCCCCTTGGGCCTTCCTCCTCTGGGACAGCAGGGCCCCAGGGGGATTCAGAGCCCCTTCTGCCATCAAGACCGGCCCTGCTGCCCCCTCTTTCTCTTCCTTTTTCTCTTCCTTCTCCCCCAGCTTTCGGATTCCACCCTCGGCGTCTCTGGCCTAACCAAAGAAGGGAATCGGGGTGAGCAGCAAGCTCCAGCCCAGCCACCCCATCCCCCATCCCACCAGCCCCATCCCTTGCTGAATGAGGAGCAGGGAGATGGACTTACAGGACTGGCAGTAGCCATGCAACAGCTTGGTCTTCATCCCAGTTGGCCCCCAGCTGCCGGCTTTTAACCCACCAGCGCTACCCCACCCCCACCCCCCACCCCCAGAGCACGGGATAGGGAGGAGCCAGCGTGGTGTGGTGGGAGCTCAGAGGGGAAAGGGCTTGCGCTATGCAGTCCATCAGCAAGCATTTAGTGAGCATCTTCTGCATGCAGGCAGGTGGGAGGGGGACAGGTGTGACCAGACAAACCCAGCCACCACCCATACGGTGCTGGCCATGTGCCGGCTGGGTCACACGAAGGTAAGGGTCAATATTGGGGATGTGCCCTTAGTGCAATCACATCCCATGGAGGATGGGCCTAGAATTTAAAGCAGGACCATCCCAGAGAGGGCAGAAGCAGCAACTCTGACATGGCCAGTGTCCATGGCCAGGTCAGAGACCTTAGTTGTGCATTGGAGTGTCTCTGTGTTTGCCTCTGCTGCCATTCACCACCCCCATTTGGCTACCAATGTCATCTGACACCAGCATCTGGAAGTTTCTGAATTTTGTAAAGTACATAATCATTTAGAAACAGGGAGATTATGCATTAAAAATCTACATTTTTGGTTACTCTTGAAAATTTGGAAAGGTCTCACAACACCGGGACCTCCACCTCACTGTGGCTGAGGCCGCCCTTTGGAAGGGCAAATGCGGTGCCATAGGGCCCCGCGGGTCCACTGCACTACTGCTTCCTGCTGCCCGGCTCATCTGAGTGTTCTCCACCCAGCAGTGATGGGGGTGCACTGGGGGAAGACAGTGCAACAGTCTTATAGCCTGGCTTCAAAGCCTCCCTGCCCAGACCTCAGCCAAGTCCTGAACCTCCGAGTCTCCATTTCCTTATCTGTAAAATGGGAATGTTAATGATATACAACTCAGAAGCTTATTGTACTAAATATAAAATACATAAGCCCATAAAACAGGGCCTGGTGCAGTGGTCAATACAAATCAGCTGAGGGCTACCCCAGGGTGCTGGAGGGAGGGAGAGGGGAGGGATGGGGAAGGGGAGGAGGAGGGAAAAGCTCTGGTTCTGGCTACCCTTCCCCTGCCTTCTCAACAGCACCCTTATCTGCAGGGGCTGAGGCCTCCCCAAATTTCTCATCCTCCTCTTGGCCACTTCTAGGGTCTGAGATCTATAAAGGGACTAGTCTCCTCCCCCCACACCCAGGGAAGCCCTTGACTACATGGAGGCCGACAGTCAATATCTGTCCAACCCACATACCCTAAGCTTCAGGTACATGCCCAGCATGGGGCTAGGTGCTGGGAGGCAGGGAGGGGCCAAAACTGAGCGGCCTCTGTGCTCTGCTCTCTCAGGGGGAGCCAAACAGTAGGTACTCTTACAAACACCTGGGTAGTCACAAATTCAGACCTCTGAAGGAAAGGAGTTCGCAGATGGGAAAAGATAAAGTCCATTACCCGAACTGGAGGCTTTAGAGTGGCAGTTCTCAAACGCATGGATCAGACTCACCTGCACTCACCTTGTTAAACAGGCTGCTGGGCCCTGCCCCCAGAATCTGATTCCTTAGCCCTGGGCTTGGGCCTGAAAATTGGCATTTGTAACAAGCTCCCTGAGGATGCTGGTCAAGAACCCCATTTCGAGAACCACTAACTTAGAGGCAGTTCACGGATGAGGTGATGTTTGAGCTGATACCTAAAGCATGAACAAGAGTTAACTAGGTGGGTGGAGAAGGGCATCTCAGGGACTGGGAGCAGCATGTGCAAAGGCCCAGGGGCAAAGGGAACATGGGACACTGGAGGAAAAAAAGAAAGACCAGTGTGGCTCATGCCCAAAGGAGGAAAGGATAGTAGGTCTTGATCTTAGGAAAATGGAGAACCACTGAGTGCTTCAAGTGGATACAGATGGGCTGGGGAGGTAATCAGAGGTGCTTTCCAGCAGGTTCTTTGGGCTGCTGTGTAGCAAACAGACTCTGTGGTAGCAAGAGTGCATGGGAGGAGATCTATTAAGTTGCTAATGTAGTTGTCCAGGTGACAGATACCCTGACAGGGAAGATGGAGAGAACATGATGGATTTCATGTGTTTAGAAGGAAGACTCCCTGGCATTTGGTGATGGCTAGGCTCTGGAGAGGTGGGGCACAATGTCCCAACTACCTGTTGCTACATAACAAACCACCCCAAACTTAGTGGCTTAAAACAGCAACAATCCTCTATTTTGCTCACAGATGTACAATTCAGGTTGTGCTCAGTAGGGACAGCTCGCCTCTGCTCCAAAGTGCTGTCAGCTGGAGTGGCTTACAGGCTGGGGCTAGAGTCATCTGCTCACTCCGGGGGGCAGTTGATGCCGGCTGTTGGCTGGAACCTCAGCTGGGAGTGTTGGCTGGGACCGCTCTGTGTACCTCTCCATGTGGCCTCTTGGCTTCCTCACAGCATGGTGGCTAGGTTCCCAGAAGCGGCATCCCAAGAGACGGGAAGCAGAAGCTGCCAGTTTCTTAAGGCCTGGGCCCAAAACCTGGCACAGCATCGTGTCCACTGTATTCTATCAGTGTCCCAGGGCCCACATTCAAAGACAGGGACATAATCCTACCTCCTGATTGGAAGAGTGTCAAAGAATTTTGGACAGAGGAAGCCCTGGAGGAGGGCCAGGCTTGGGGAGAGATCATGAATCTATATTTGATGGAAAGAAAGGGAGAAAGGACCCTCCCCAAGTGCCAGGCATGGTCTTAGCTGCCTTAGCGTCCTGGCCCAGAGCCTGGCATGGAATGCCCCTGCTAGCCACAGTACCCCTTTCCACCTTCTTCCACATCTCCCAGCATGGGACAGCCTGTGGACTCTGGAGTTAGGTCACTAAGGAAAGCCCTGAAGAGCAAACCCCCGGCCCTATGGGGTCCTGGTCCCTACTCAAAGCCCTCCCCAGTCTGTCTGTGGAGAACTTCTGCACAGTGGGCTCCTGTACCCCAATCCTACCATACTGTTCCTAAAATATCTTGAATCTGCCCATTCCTCTGACTCCCCACTGCCCCCACTCAAGGCAAGCCCTGCCATCTCTGGCCTGGGCCACTGCCCAAGTCTCTCCTAACATTCTCCTTGCTTCTACTTCTGCCTCCTTACAGAACATTCTCCTCTTGCCTCAGAGGGCTCATTTTAAAATATTAATCTGATCACTTAAGTCCTCTGTTTAAAACCCTCCAGGACGCCGAGGATGTGACCCAAAGGCCAGGTTCTGGGCCTGCAGGTTTCTGCATGATCCAGCCTGAAAGTGCCCCCAAGCACACTGATCCTCCAACAAGCCAGATTGGCTCCTGCCTCAGGACCTTTGCACTTGCCTTTTCCGCTCCAACTCTTTGCGTGACTGACTTCTTATCCTTCAGGGCTGGGCTCAAATGTTGTCTTCTCAAAGAGGGCCTCCCTGACCATCTTATCTAAAGCTGACCACTCTCCATAGCATAACTTACAGAGTTGTCAAATCACTATCTTGTATGTCTGAAATGAATGAACATTTTTTGTCAACTATATTTCAATAAAAAATAGACCACACGCTCCAGCCTCAAGACCTTACACGGGTTCTCCCCTCAATTCCTAACTCAAGCGAGGCCTTCCCTGCCCACTGTATGTAACTGTTCAGGCCCTCACCTCCACTCCAACACTTTCCGTACCCTTTCTCCTCTTGGCTTACCCTCCCAGCATTGCACCTCCTGACACCTGACACATATATTCTACTTATTCATTTTACTCATCTGCCTTCCTCTACTAGAACAGAAGAACCAAAGTCTCTCTCAGTCACAGCTGGGTTCTCTAGTCTCTAAGGCAGGGCCTGGCTCTTAGCAAGGCCTCAGAGGGCAGAGTAAGGAGGGAGAGTTGACCTTTAGATTGAGCAAGGTGGACAGCACTGATTTGGACACGAGCAACACCATCTAAAACATTTTATTTGGTCACTAGTTCATTGGCTGTCTGTCGCTTCCTACCAGAATTTAAGTTTTAGAAGAGCAAGGACTTCATGGTCTTGTTTTCTGCTGAATCTCTGGTACTAGAACCGTGCCTGGCATGCGCTAGGCATCCTGGAGAAACTGAGAATAGATGCCGATGGCCGGTTATATGATTTCCTCTCTTTGGGTGTTGCCTCCCTCATCTGTAAAGGGGGGGGGGGATTGAAAATGCCTGTTTTACAGGATTGATTTTAGGAATTAATGATATAATGGATGCCATGCCAGGGACGTGATAGGCTTGCGATAAATATCATTCACTCCTCTCTCTGTTTTCAGCTCCCACTCTACCTGCCTGTCTTCCTCCCCACCCTGAGGCCTCTGGACAGCAGGAATGTTGATAAATATTTAATCACACTGTCAGGTACCCCACACAGAGTTACAAAGACCCATCTGGATTTTCAAAAACCCAGGCAGGCCTGGGTTCACCAGGATCCACATGATCCTCTTAAGAGAATGCCTTCTGCTCCAGCTGCACCGGGCGGGGATTTTCTCCCAACCCTTCCCCACATTCTCCCACCCTTCCCTCCCCCAAGCTTCAACAACCATTCTCCTTAGTACATTCTTAGGAAGAGAAAAGGGATGAGAGGAAGGGAGAGGCCCATTTTCCTGGAGGAGAAAAAACAGAAAGGTGGAGAGGTCCTGGAGAACTCACAGGATTAGGGCCTGGCCAGAGAGAGGCCCAGGGGCCTGGGCTCTGCCATCCTGTGCCCTAAAGGGGAGAGGGGGAGAAGGTGGGCAGCAGTGTGACACAGGGTAAAGAATCCATTGTGCTGGAAGGTGGCAGCCCAGTGACCATGCTGCCTTCTTCTGGAGACAGTACATAGAGAGAGAGACAAAGAAAGATGTAGCACACGTTAACACCTGGTGAGTCTAGGTGAAGAATATTCGGGTATTCATTATATTAATATTGCAACTTTTCTGAAGATTTTATTCAATGTAGTATGCTTACAACTTTTCTCTAGGTTTGAAGTTAAAAAAGTTGGATGCAAAAAGAAATAGCGACAGAGAAGCTAGTGGCCCACTCAGTAACCACTCTCCCCTTCTCATACTTTGATTCCGGGAAGTCATATGCCCAGCTAGATGACCACACTTTTCCAGCCTCCCTACAGCGAGGCCTAGCTGTAGTTGTTAGCTTCTGAAAACTCCATGTGAGAGACAGACAACTGGCAGGTGCTCTTTTACCCTCCTTCCTCTCCTCCTGCTTTCTGCATAGATATGATGGCTGGAGCTCTGGCAGCCATCTTGGACCATGAGATGACCTTGAAGGTAGAATTCATGTACTAAAAATGGTGGAGCAGGAAGGTAGGAATCTAGGTTCCTGATGAATGTGAAGTTATCAAACCAACTGTGGCCTGCCTACCACTGGACTTCTTTAAGTGAAAGAATAAAAGCCTGCTTTGCCTAAGCTTCTGTATTAGCAGCCAAACGAACTTCCTGCCTGATTCAGAATGGAACCTGTCTTCTGCTCCCTTCACACTCTGGACTTTTCCACCTGCCGAATCTTCTGCCGAGAATGCTCACCATTGCTTGTAAGGTCCTTCTCATCTTTCAAAACCCAGCCTGAATGTCACTTTCTCCTAGAGGCTTTCTGGAGGTGCCCCTTCCCTCCTGGGTTCCCATAGTCCCTGCGCTCCTGTTAATGTCCCTGACGGCCCACTTGCTGTGAATCCGAGGACTCCTCGCTCCTCATCACCTTGGCCGCTCTGTAGCATTTAACCAGCTATTCTCTAATCCCTTTGGTTTCCCTGCTACCACTCTCGCCAGCTTCTCCTCTTCCCCGTGCTGCTCCTTCTCAGTCTTTTAGCCAAGTCCTCTGCCCTTGGCCACACATGAAGTTTGCAGTGCTCAGGATTCTGTTCTGGACCCTCTCCTTGCCACTCTCCACGTTCTCCTGGTCAATTGCATCCTCCCCATGGCTCTAGCCACCACCTCCATGCTGATGACTCCAAATCCAGTGGGGTACTGGGCTGCCTTAGACCAGCTCATGAGAGCAATTATTACAGTTTCAGGAGTTTGTGAGCCAGGTCTTGAAGTCATTATTAAAAATTAAATTATATAGTTTTTTTTAACCTTCAAGAGGAAGACAGACACTTGGGAGTACGATTCAGGAAACTTTCTTCCCAAAGGTTCTGGACCTACCTCAATAGCTTTTGCTGCTTGTTCTTCTGTTTCAAATTCCACAAAGGCAAATCCCTTTGGATCTCCAGTAGATTTATAATGTGGTATGCTTATATAAACAACGTTGCCACATTTCTCAAATACTCTTTTAATCCAGTTGTGATTAACATTTTTGGGAAGTAATTCCTACAATAAATTAGAAGCAATATTCAATATAAGTACTTTCCCAAGGTCAATAAATTTTTACTTGTAATATAAAAAATTAAATTATATAAACTTATGGTTATATAAATTATGTTTAAAACAGATAATAAATACTCAAAACATAGCTTCCTAATTATTTTACTATTATCCATGCTCTTAAGATTGTTCTTACCTATTTTATCTGTATGGTGAAAATACTGTAAGAGGCCATACTATGGCTCATCTCTTCCCAGTTCTCTGCTCTGTGACATCACATTGACAGTGAAATCAATCACAGAGAGAGAATTTACACCACAGATGTGGGCAAACTCTACAAATCAAGGTATATCCCTGCTTTAGAAAGCCACATGTTAAAGATTTCCAAGTACACCATGGCCCAAACCTACACCTGAAGCCAGCCCTGAGGGACCCCCTGAGCTCCAGGCTCAGATATCCTATCTGCTGGACACCTCCTCCAGTTTGTCTATCAGGCACCACACAATCGGCCCCAGTTAGGCCTCAAACAAGCTCTCCATCAACCCCCCCATCTCAGAAGCTGCCCCATCTCCTCAATGTCTGTTTCTTTTTTTTTTTTTTTTTGAGATTTTATTTATTTATTTGACAGCGAGACAGAGTGAGCACAAGCAGGGGGAACAGCAGGCAGAGGGAGAGGGAGAAGCAGGCTCCCCGCTGAGCGGGAGCCCCATGCGGGTCTTGATCCCAGGACCCTGGGATCATGACCTGAGCCAAAGGAAGACGCTTAACTGACTGAGCCACCCAGGCGCCCCCACAATGTCTGTTTCATTTTGCAACAGCATCTCTCACCTGCTGTCCAAGCCAGAAACCTGGGACTCTTCCCCCAACTCATCCCTCTGTCTCTTCCCCAACACCTAATAAGTTACCTCCTAAACAACACCCAGCTGTCCCTCCAGTCCTGTTCCAGCCTCACTGCAGCTTCCCTAGTTCGGGCTCCATCATCGCTCCACTGGATTCTGCCCCAGCTTTCTCGTGATCTTGCTGTGTCCCACATCCTCCCACTGTTCACCTCCATGTGGCCCCACAAAATGCAGATCTCATTTCGGTCTCCCTGGTGCTAAAAATCCTTCAGTGGTTTCCCAGTTCCTACGGTAGAAATACAGACACCCTTCGTGTGGTCTTTCTTCCTCCTCTCCCTCCTGCTTGCTTCTTCATCATCTATTTTGACATTCTGGGGTTTTTTTTTGTTTTTTGGGGTTTTCAAAAAGATTTTATTTATTTATTTGACAGAGAGAGTGAGAGAGCACAAGCAGGGGGAACAGTAGAGGGAGACGGAGAGGGAGAAGCAGGCTTCCCGCTGAGCAGGGAGCCCAAAGCGGGGCTCAATCCCTGGACCCTGGGATCATGACCTGAGCTGAAGGCAGACCCTTAACCATCTGAGCCACCCAGGTGCCCCCGACATTCTGGGGTTCTTAGTCAAGAGTCACAAAAATCGCTTCTGGCTAATTTAAGCAGATAAGGATTTTATTTTCCAATACTGGGCAGCTCAGAAACTCTCCAGGAAGGCCAGAGAGTCCCCCTTGAAGACAACGCATCCTGGATTAATGCTCCAAATCACACTGCCAACAGACCCTAGAAGACTTCCTGATGCTACAGCTGGGCATGGACAATGCGGCTTGCCCTGTTGGTGCTGGATGCTCCTAGAAGCAGTGTCACTGCCGCTTGTGGTCCCTGGTAGGAGCTGCTACCACCAACACCACCTGTCCTCACCAGAGCCGACTGCCCTCCTTCCCTGCTTCTTCAGGTTCCAAGTCTGGGGCTGGGGTGTCTGGGGCTGAAGTCACATGTCTGGGCTTCAGGGAAGGCTAGGAAAACACTGTCAGCTCCTAGAGGGGGAGGTGGGCCCTGCCTCAGAAGGTGGGAGATCCCCCGAACATAAGAAGGGGACAGTTCCAATGCCAAGAGGTCAAAAATAATGACAGACGTCCCCCATGCTACTTTTTAAATTATACAAGTAAAATACTATTCAAAGTAAAACAACCAAACAGCCTAAGCAGGAAGGTGATAAAATATAAAAACTTCTCTCCCTGAGTGCTCTCAGCCCCATTTGCCAGGGGCAACTACTGTGAACAGTCTTTTGGAAATCCTTGCTGGTGTGATCTTTGTATATCTAGGATGTAAGTATGTATATATTCGTGTATAAGGGGTCTTATGTAACTATGTGTGTCTGTGTATCAAAACTGACTAGTTCCCCACATTATAGTTTAGCACCTCTCTCTCTCACTTCACACCATTTCTTGATACACTCCCATGTCAGTGGACATGGGTCCTGCTCATCCTTTCACTGGATGGATGCCCCACGATTAACTAGCCAGCCCCTTACAGATGGATATTTGCATTATTTTCAGTGCTGCAGTGAGCATCCTTGCACAAATGGTTTTGTGCCCTTGTGTGAGTAGATCCAAGGAATGAATTCCTGGAAGGGCAACCGTCGGCTCAAAAGGAGCATGCATTTATGTTTTAGGTAAACATTGGCAGACTGCCTTCCAAAAAGCATGCACCAATTTGCAACTCTACCAATGGCCTATGAACACTTTTTCCCCAGCCCCTTGCACAGTCTGGCTACCTCCTCACCGCATCACCTGTCATTTACACACCCTGCATTTCCAGCCACAGTGCCTTTGCCCCTGTTATACCCATAGCTTAAAATACCGTTCCAGCCTGTCTTCCAGGTAAAAGCTTACCTCTCCTATGAGACCTAGCACAGATGTCACCTCCCGTGTAGGCTTCCCTGATTCCCCTAAGCTGCCAAAGTCCCCTTCCTCTGGGACCCCATAATTTCTTGGGCATAATTCTGTCATAGCTCCAATTGAGGGCCTATGCGTGCCTGGCATTCTATGGCCACTTGACAACCCCCACCATAACCACACACAGAAAAAGTGGTCTTGTCTACATCCTCATCCACTCCTGGCTCTCCAGCTGCACTTCCTTTTACTTGTTCCTAAGCACAGTCCTGTCTCAGGGCCTTTGCACTTGCAGTTCCCTCTCTATAGATCTTGCCCATATTGGCCTGGGTGCCTCTCTGGGGTCTCTGCTTCCACCGGCCTCCTCACACAGGCCTTCCCTGGGCACTCTGTCTCAAGCACCTTCCTCTAGTCATTCTGTTACATCACCATGCCATTATCTTCATAACACTCGTCACAAGCTGAAACAACCTTGTTAGGTTTAAGTGTTGACACGTTTGTTTTCTGTCCTGTGTCCCATTTCTGCACACACACAAACACATCATTGTAAACTCCCCACGGGCAGGGACCTTGGTTTCCTTTTCCACTGTCTCCAGCCTCAAACCTGCCTGGCACCTGTCCGAACGCTCAATCAACATCTGTTGAGCGAATCATCCGTTATTTTACAGAAAAAGAAACTGGCATTCAGAAAGGAAGGCTGAGTAGCCCAAGGTCCCACAGTTAATAAAAAACACAGCTGAGATTCGAACCCATTTGAACCCCAAAGCCAACTGCAGGTAGTATTTCTTCCCTACTCTTGCCGCTCCTGCATTGTCTCCCCCACCCGATTAGGCTCTTGGGGCTGGACGCGAGTCTGACGCCCAGGGGTCCCCAGCGGCGCGTCGGGGGCCAGCCCCGGGAGGCTAGTGGGCTCCACGGAGATGTCACCCTCCCCGCCCCCTGTCAGTCAGGCTGAGGGGGCGGTGCGGCAGCCAGAGGGGGCGCTGAGCTCAGAGCTGCCGCAGCGCCCGAGCGGAAGCCGGAGCCCGAGCCGGAGCGTGCGAGCGAGAGAGCGAGCGAGCCCGGCGCAAGGCGCGATCCGTGGCTGGCGACGCACCGAAGGCCCGGGCACCGCTGCGCCCCGGCTCAGGGCCCGTGCCCCGCCTGCTGTCAACCGACCTGCGCGCCTGGCGAGGTCCCGATTCCCCATTCGCCCCGAGCCCACCCCAGCCCGGCCTAGCCGAGCACCTGCGTCCGCCCGCCGCAGCCGCAGCCGCTGCTCCATCCCCAGCCCGGGCCCAGCTTCCAGGTGAGGCGGCCGCGCTCCTGACGCCGGGGTCGGAGAAGGGGCTGGGGAGGGAGAGGGGACTGGGCGGGATGGGGAAGCGGCTGGGAGCCGAGACTGGGACCCCGGGGGAGAACGGAGAGGGGGCTCCGGTAGGTGCGTGCCAGTGTGCGCCCTGGGGTGTTTGTGTGACCGCTGCTCTGTGTGTGCAGCCGGCTGGGGGGCCGTGCGGACGTGCGCCCGCGTCCGTGTGTTCGTGTGTGTCAGGGTGTCCGTGCGCGTTTGAACGTCTGCGTGTCCTGCATGTGCACGTGAGCGTATCGGCGGAGAATGTTTGTGTGTATGGTCGTGTGACTCTGTCGTGTGTACAGGCAGGCCCCAGGGCTGAGCGCCGAGCCCAGCACCCCGGTTCCAAGGGGCTGCAGGTTGCAGGGCCCCGGATAACCGAGGCAGTGGCTCCTCCCGCGTCCCCGGGTTTCAAGGACGCCGGGACTCGTAGCGGCCCTGTGGCCTCACGCTGGGGAGGGGGTAAGACGGGAGGGGGCTCCTGGCCCGGAACGGCGCCGGGGTCTCAGGAAGGAGAGGAGGGGGTAACCCGCGTCCCAGGGGAAGGGCTGGGGTGAGGGTGCGGGGCAAGCGCACCCGTGCCCGTGTGTTCGCCCTCCCCAGGCCGCCAGGATGGACGTGTTCATGAAGGGCCTGTCCATGGCCAAGGAGGGCGTCGTGGCCGCCGCGGAGAAAACCAAGCAGGGGGTCACCGAGGCCGCGGAGAAGACCAAGGAGGGCGTCCTCTACGTCGGTGGGCAAGGGGCAAGGCTTCCGGGGCTATGCAGGGTTCAGGTGTCCGTCGAGGGAGTGGGGCCAGGGTCCTTGCCGGGAGGGAGTTGTCAGCGGAGGGGTCTGAGCGGGAGAATATGAGTCAGCAGATGGGGCGGGGTCAGCAGGGGTCACTGGGGACACAGCCAGCTGAAGGAAGCCTGGGTCAGTGATGAGACCCTGGGGAGGGGAGAATGGGGGGAAGAGTTGGTGAGAGGGTGTACAGCTGAAAGGCCAGGGACCAATGCATGGGTCAAAGCAGATAGGCTTTTTCTTATTCTTCACATGATTACTACTTACCTGGTGTTGAGCCCTTACTCGCTGCCAGGTACCAATGCCCTAACATCCATTACTTCACTTCGTGCCCCTCACCCATTCCACAGACCAAGAAAAGTGGGGTTCCCAGAGGTTTAACTACCGCGCTCAAGGTCACACAGCTACTGAG